CAATTAGATGTAATGAGTGAGCCTTTTTTTAACTACATAGAATGAACTAATTAGTTTTATGAATTAAATTAAAATATTTTATAAATATTTTAAACTTAATTATTATAAATAATATGGTAAAATTTTAATTAGTGTCATGTAATGAGTGAGCCTTTTTTTTTTTTTTTTGGTTGGGTTTTTTTTAACTACAATTGGACTAATTAGATTAATCAATTTTACGAGTGGAATTAATGTATTTTTATAAATATTTTAAACTTAATTATTGTAATTGATATGGTAGAAATTTAAGTAGTATGATGAAAAATTAAATACTTTTATTAATTAATATGATAGAATATCAATTAGTACTTAAATTCACTTAAATAAATATTTCAAACAAATAAATTAAAATTACAAAATAAAGATAAACATTCAATTCACTTAAAATTAACGTACAAACACTAAAATTATAATCACAAACACTAAAATTAAAATCACAACACAAAAATAAACTAGAATACCCATCTTAAAGCTCACACATACTACAACAACAATAATTAATACGAAACATAAAAATAAAAATTAAAAAAAGGATTATCAAATAGACGATTTCATAGACTTAATTGTCACCATAATAATCATTCAAATTTCCTCCGTCATGCCCGATATCGTCGAGAAATCCAAATTGACCCGTGTTAGATGATGGTTGGGTTGCTTGAGATTGTTGTTGCTCAATTTCTCTTTCTTGTAAAATTTGCATTTGTTTTTGCTCCCAATGTCGACGTATCATGGGATTCGTAAGAGAATTCAAATCTATCATCAAAATTCTATCTTCATCCCTCTTTTTCTGCAAATCGATTTGTTGTTTCTGCAATTGAAGCTGGACATTTTGACGTTCATCGGCTTTCTGCAACAAATCAACAATAGTATCACTTTTAGCATTTAGAGTTTGAAAATATTGGCAAAATTGGTCTTCATTTTTCTTCTTCAATTTTGCTTTCTTTGCTCCCATTGGACGTTGAGAGGATGTTCCACCAACACCATCGTCACTTTGTTGAGGACTAAAAGACGACAATCCCGGAGACTCTGGTGTTGGTTGTCCATCATATGGAACGTCGGACTCGGAAGAGTCATTGAGTGTATCGAAATCCCGACGACGAGGTCGTGGTTGAGACACATTATCATCAAATTTTCCAAACTCTTTGAATAGTCGGAACACATGATGAAACTTGAAGCCATCTTTATATTTTGGGTCTTGTTCAAACAATCGTTCGGCTTGCTCAATCTACAAACAAAAAGATATATAATTGTAAGTATGCTTATAAAACAAGCAAATAAAATGAACCGAAATTGAACTTAAAACAAAATACTCACCCTATCTTGGATTTGTGTCCCACTAGGATTGCGATATTCGATTTGCTTCAAGCATCCATTAAACCTCCGACAATGAGTTTCCATGAGACGGTAACGAGAGTCAAGGGACCTCATAGAGCGTTCTGGTAAATCTTTGTGTTTCTGGGAATTGTATTCATCATATATTTTTTTCCAAAATGTTGAAGAACTTTGATCATTTGACGATATTGGATTTTGTGAAACACTTATGTAGCATCTAACAATTAAGGCATCTTCCGGTTTGGAGTATTTTGGCCCTTTTGAAGAAGACATTTTGAAGAAAATAAGATATTGAAGAAGAGTGGGAACAATAAGACTACAATAATGGAAGAAGAAATGGATATGTTTGTAGTTGCTTCTTGAAGTTTGATGTATAAATAGATAAACTAATTCACAAGCACACAAGTATAATTGTACCATTTGTCATACTATGCAAAAGAATCCTATGCAAATTAATTTCTTATTCATTTGTCATCCTATGCTTCTTGAATACTACATCCTATGAAAAGAATTTTATGCTTCTTGAAGACTATGTTTCTTGAAGACTACACCCTATGCAAAGAATCTAATGATGGAGAAGACTATGCTTCTTGAAGACCACACCCTTATGCAAATAATCCTATGCTTCTTGAAGACTATGCTTCTTGAAAACCACACCTTATGCAAAGAATCCTATGCTTCTTGAAGACTACACCCTTTGGTTGGTCAAAGAATCCTATGCTTCTTGAAGACTACACCCTTTAGTTGGTCAAGGAATCCTATGCTTCTTGAAGACTACACCCTATGGTTGGTCATTGTGTTGGTCAAAGAATCTTATGCTTCTTGAAGACTACACCCATTTGTCATTGTAAAGAAATAATGTCTCACATGGCTTGTCTGAAAACGAATCCAATGAAGAAAATATTTATTTCATTTGTTCATTCATTCATCTATATAAACATGAAACTATACATCATGCCATCCAAACTACA